GACATAACTTTGACAGTATCTCAATAGGTGTCTAACTGCCTTGCCGGACGCTGGCGCCCGTCCATTGCCTCAAGACTGAGGCCAATGTGCGCCACTAAAGCCAGAGACGTTGAAACCACGATGATCATAAGCGAGCCACCAGTAGGAAGAGTAGAGCTATCACTTGTTAGTCCTGTATCCAGCCGCCTGCAATTAGAAGTTCTCGGACTTCCGGGATATCGGGCTTCAGCTCCCCGTTTTGGGGCGCGAAATATTCCCGTTTTGTCTGATTGTAGCGAACCGCGTAGAGCGTTCCCCGGCCCTGGGGTCCATAATACGGCCGTCGTGAGCATCTTTGGGTCATAGTCAAGAGCAGATTTCTAAAGTACAGCTCACCTCCCTTGTGGCCGCGGTTCTCGCAGCTTTCCCTGAAACAACTCCGGGAACCCAATCCGAAGATTCTCTGAGCCTGATCCACACATGCTCACCGTCCTGGAGGCGTGGCCGGTTTGTGTCATATGTGCGACCGACTGTGAGGCAAAAACGCACCTGGAATGAGCATCTCATAGGCTCGTCTAGGTCAAGTAGTCCGTACTCGGTCGGATGAGATTGGGAAGACTCAGTATCGCTCGAGTCGTTGCCTTCATCCTTAGCCGGATTGTGTTGCTTTCTCGGGGACTTCTGCGCGGCTTTGAGGCCTTTGGGAGCACCCGAAACCCGTCGTGTAGATGGTGTTGGTGACATGGTGTGAGCCCAGTAGGCTTGATCGCGGGGAGCTGAATAAACGGCTAGTGGAATGACGCTCAGATATAGCAGAGCTTCGGGCGGATGGAAGAGTCGGGTTTTAGTGAGATGGTCGTGGTGCGTTTTAGTGCCTACTATTTATGTGTCGTTTGGCACCGGCCACAACGCATGTGGCTTCCGGTGTGACAACGGGCAACAATAACCTCTGAAACGCCCTACAACTGAGAAGGATAGCCTTAATGGGGCCCACAAAGGACGCCTTGGACGGGAGGCCGGGAGATCCGATGATTTTACAAAGGCGGCTGCATATCCGTGTAGTATGGAACGGAGATTCCGGACAATAGGGGAGGTAGTCCGGCATGCAGCACGAGCCTCGGACCTGACGGTTGAGGCCAGGTTTGCCAGTAGCATACAAGTAGCCACTTGTACCAGTGACACCTAGTAAAGACAAATATTGTAGTGTCTACATGGAGTTGTGAGAATTTCACGTTTACATAAGATTTGCATCTCGACGACGTACGGTAGACCCTTCGGATGTGGCCCTCGAACTTAGTAGAGTTGTTGAGAGTTGGAGTACTAAACGAATTCGGTTTATAAAAGCGCCCGTCTCTGCCACGCGATCATCTACAGATCTGAGATCCACGCTCGAAGCTTTACTGAGCGGCGAGCCTTGACTGAGCCCTTGATCCTGAAACTTACAGCTTTCCGTCACCATCTGAGCGAGCCTGGTCTTTAGGATCTGAAGAATAATCCGTAGCCACTATGGGAGTCTCTGCAGAGGACATTGCCGAGGATATCCGGAACGCTTTGCCGGGAACGGAGGAAATCATCATCCAATATCTTTCTGGCTACTTGCTTGACTTGGACGATGCGGCCGAGGACGAGGATGTCCTACAAGTCACTCGGGATATCTTGGACTCCGCCATTGGATCTTCTTCGAGCCTGGCTAAGAAGGGGGATCTAGATGGACTCGTCGAACGGCTTGCTGAGCAACTAAAGGAACCTTTGACCAGGCGGGAGGAGAAAAACCGCGCTGGAAGGGGAACAGGCCTTGTAAGGCTGGACAAGGTCATGGACCTCAGCAAGGCGAACGTTATCAGCAGCACGATTGCTTTCACAGAGGGTGTTGACCTGGAGAGTATTAACAAGGGAAAGTGAGTACGCGTACACTGCGCTTGTGTAGCATCGTACGAGTGTTCCCGTTCAGAGCTTCCCGAGTCGATGTCAAGAAATTGGAAAAGCAAGAAGCCAAACTTAGGGTACGTACTCTCGTACTGTTTGCCCAAGCTTCCTATAGCTCTTTCTCGTAGGCCAAAATAGAGAAGCGGTCAAAGCGCACCGTTCTCTACGAGGGATCCAAATTGCTCGACCAGCACAAGAAACAGGTAAGCAACCTGAGCAGGGGTAACGGCGTATCTTTTATAGGCGGATATTCTTGTAGCAAACGTACGAAGAGATGTTCATGAAGATCAATCCTCTCGACGCTGCTGCTGCGTCCAAGAACAAGTCGAAAGACATCCACCTCAACTCCATCGACGTCAACTTCGGTTCAAATCGTATCCTGTATGGCTACTCCGACGTCTGTGAAAATGGGACCCCCACTGACTCAATATACAGCTCTGGCGCCTCTCTCACGCTGGCATATGGACGCCGCTATGGTATCATTGGTCGGAACGGTGTTGGTAAATCGACACTACTCCGGCATATCGCTATGCGTGAAGTACCAATCCCACCACACATCACTATTCTCTTCGTCGAACAAGAAGTATGTTGGCCTAACGCTGCAACATCGTTATTATCTGACATTTCCCCCTTAGATTGTTGGTGATGACACCCCTGCGATCGAGTCTGTCCTCAAGGCCGACGTTTGGCGAGATACTCTGCTCCGCGAGGAGGCCGCTCTCAATGCCAAACTTGCCGAGCTTGAGGGTGAGGGTGACGACAAGCGGTTTGAGGATGCTCGAGAAGAGGCATCAACACGTTTGGCTGAAGTGCACGCCCGTCTGGCCGAGATGGAAGCCGAGAGCGGTCCTGCACGAGCTGCGGCACTCCTTGCTGGTGGGACTTACAATCGTATTTGGTCGGCCGACTTGGCGCTCATATCACGTCAGGTCTTGGATTTAGCGAAGAAGATCAACAACGACCGACTAAATCGTTCAGTGGAGGTTGGCGAATGCGACTGGCGCTAGCAAGAGCACTGTTCGTGAAGGTAATTTTGCCTCGAGCTGACGTATAGAATACTGGCTCACACTGAGTCGCTCAGCCCGCACTGCTGCTGCTCGATGAGCCGTCTAATCACAGTAAGATTACATGGCCTAAAATCTGAGCAAAAGCTGATATCCTGTGCAGTCGATTTGAATGCTCTCGCATGGTTGGAAGACTATCTCCAGACGTGGCCCGGCACGTTGCTTGTGGTGTAAGTGAACACCCTATGTATATCCGCCTCCCCCAATACTAACGAGTATGCACAGCTCTCACGACCGAGCGTTCCTGTAAGCTCGACCCACATATTGGATGCCTCTCCTTTCGGCTGATCATGTACAGGGACGCCGTCGCCACCGATATCATTCACATGCACTCCGGCCGTCTTGACTACTACAAGGGGTATGTGTCGGGACAACCTTTTGATCTTGCTTGTCTGACCCCCAACGTAGCAACTTCACGCAGTTCTACTCCACGAAGTCGGAGCGTGATAGGAACCTCCGGAAGGAGTACGAGACACAAATGGAGTACCGCAAGCACCTACAGGCCTTCATCGACCGGTGGCGATACAACGCGAACCGCGCGGCGCAGGCCCAGTCAAAGATCAAAATCCTTGAAAAGGTGCTCAAAGTTGGCCGTTCCTCTTCGTGTCCTAGCTCATGTGTCCCGTGTACAGCTCCCAGAACTACAACCGCCGGAGGTCGAAGAGACAGAGACCTTCAAGTTCCCGGAGACGGAGAAGATCTCACCGCCTGTGCTACAACTCAACGAGGCTTCCTTTGGATATACCCCAGACAAGGTTCTACTCAAGGGCATCAACATTGACGTCGGACTCGACTCCCGTATCGCGGTTGTTGGTCCTAATGGTGCCGGAAAGTCGACACTGTGAGTAGTGCCATCGACTTCCTTCGCGACACCATTTAAACAGCACCCAGGATCAAACTATTGACTGGCGAGCTTAAGCCTTTGGCTGGCCATGTGAGCCAAAATGGCCGGCTTCGCATGTAAGTACCGGCCGAGACTTTGTTTTGAAACCATCTGACCTGCGATTGTGCCGTCGAAGTGGCTATTTCGCACAGCACCACGTCGACAACCTCATCCCCAACATGTCGCCAGTGCAATTCCTTGCATCCAAGTTCCCAGGAAAGACGGAGCAAGAGTATCGCGGACATCTAGGCAACTTCCAGATCAGCGGCATGACCGGGTGAGATATCTCGGTGCGCACCCGGCGGGAGTGTCCTTAATCTCTTCGTGCCCACAGTCTTCAGCAAATCGGCACGTTGTCAGGAGGTCAGAAATCCCGTGTTGCTTTCGCGATGCTCTCGTTGCAAAGGCCGCATGTTCTGTTGCTCGACGAGGTGCGCTGCGCCGGATGCCCTATGCACACTGAGACACCCTGACATAGCGCCCTAGCCGACTAACCACCTCGATATCGAGGGTCTGGACGCGCTCATGACGGCGCTGAGCTCGTGGAATGGCGGTGTCATCCTCATTTCCCACGACGAGCGATTCATCACGAAGGTCGCAAAGGAGGTAAGCTTTAGACTTTCGGAAGTCGCGATTCGACCTTAAGGCCTAATGTTGGCGCTAGCTCTGGGTATGCGCGGACGGGACCGTGTCGAAGTTCAAGGGAGATGTACAGGCGTACAAGGTATGTCTTTGATTCGAGTTCAGACTACATCACACCATGTACTAACGTCTCACACAGAGCCTTATCGTAAGCAACATCAAAGCGAAGCCTTGAGTTGTGTAGTACATGTTTCTTTGGCGCGCACATGTTGTACACCGATATGCCGATGTATCACTACCCCACCATTTGAGGGCTTGGCGAGCAGGTATCTGTCTGAGCCAACGATGGCGCCGCGATCTAGCAATGCGTCGTCGCGCCTTTCGAGATATTCATCCCGCTCATCATCACCTCCGAAACATCTGATGACCGTTTACGCAAGAGATATAACAGTTAGAGGTTACAGTACCGTAAGCGGTTGAGATCTTGCTCAGGCCCCACTATATTGCGGTTCGAAATAACCGCTGCGGTTGACTATGAGTCCCAAGGCAAAGCAGAAAAACAATTGCTGCCCCAGTGAGGCTCGAACTCACGACCTTCCGATGCACAGCACGAACACACATGGTGATCTAACAGTCGGACGCTGTAACCAACTCAGCCATGGGGCATACAATAAAGGTGCGCGTGTAGTGTATATGTTCTTTGCGCAGCAAGACACTAACATAGGCAAGAGCCGCAAGACGGACTGTTATCACAAGTTCGGGATGGAAAACAGGCCAAGAATCGCACGACGCGAACAAGGGACCGTCAACAATATAATATAATAGCTATACTGAGTACCGTACACATGCGATCTACGGCGAAAGCGTACTGTCCCCGGGGCCAACAAGATCACCTAACTGCATCACCAAACTCGCAGACACCCAGATATCCCGTACGCATCTTATACGGCGCTGGAGCCCGAGAAGTTGGTCTGATTTGGACTCTCAGGCGGACTCCCGACGCTCATCAGTGTATCCCTGCGGTACGTCATCTTCGAGTCGCGGGGGAACGTGCGAGGCGACGACAGTCCACTCTCGGACGCCTCCTCGTATGACGGCGGCGCGACTCCCGACGGGCCCGCGTCATGCAGCCCGAGGAGCGGCGCGTGCGGGTGCGCAGGTGGGGATTGGAGCGGGTCTTGGTGCACGACGAGGTTCTGGCCGAACGTGTACGGCTCGACGGTGCTCGCGACCTTGTGCTCCTCCTCGATCTCGGCCGCGCGCTTGAAGAACGTGTTGTCCTGCCTGCGGCGGATGAGGAAGAACGCGAGTAGGCCGAGCGCGACGACGCCCGCGACGCCGCCGACAGTGCCGCCGACAATCGCGCCGATGTCACGAGATTGCGAGGACGAGACGGAGCGCGGCGCGAAGCCGACAATTGCTGTGCCGTCTTTGGGGATGTTGAAGATGCTGCGGGGAAGACGCGGCGTGAGTGAGCGTGTAAAAGGGCTGCGGGCGGTGAGCGGTACGCACACGTAAAGCTGGGAAATGAAGGTCTGCCCGAAGATATATTGGGTTACCGACGAGTCAGTGAAGCCCTCGATAATGCTAAAGCACGTCCCATCGTCCTGCTTTACGACGAGCACAGACTGGTCGATGGAGAATGACTGCTGGCCGATCACGACAGCGAACTGGAATTGCGTGTTGCACGGCACGGTCCAAGCGTTTGTCTGCCCCGGGATCGTCGAGTGCGACACCTGCTGCGAGCTGGAAATAGCGTCATCTTGATTATGAAACAAGGTCGGTCAGCCGTGTGGCGCACTGGCCGTGCCCGAGATGACCTACGAATGAGCCTCGCCTGCTGCATAGGCATGTAAATGCCCGGATAGTAGGGGTCGACGTTCACGAGGATGTTGGACTGCCCCACTTGGTTGTTCCCGACCGTAGCGGTCCACTTGTCAAGCTGGACCGTAAGGTCCGGCTGCGTGTTGTTCGCGAGGTATCCGCTCGTGACGCTGTCCTGCACCTGCCGCCACTGTACCTTGTCCGACTGGTACGCCGACGGATCAGGGGCGAGCCAGTGGACGGTCCCAACGTTTGAGTCGGCCAAGGATTTCGCGTTAGGCCCGATTGTCAGGGAAGAGCCAGTGCCCGGGATGACCGGGGATGGCTTCAGATCCAAACCGAACGTGAAGTTAGATGCGTCGGGGTTTCGGATATAATACTGCCCATAAAGGCCGTCGTCGAAGGAGGCGGAGAAGCCCGCAGCATTCGTTGGCTTCTTTAATGTACCAAGCCCGAGAAGCCCGGAAATGCTCTGCTCGAACGGAGCATCTTGACTCTGGCTGTTCATGAGCATGACTAAGGACAAGGTCGGTTTGCGCATCCCGAGTCAAACACAGAGATCAATGTAAGACATACCAGTTTGATTCGGGTACGCCCAGGAAGAGCCATTTGAGATGTAAATCTGGCAGTCTTCCTTCATGAGGGACCCTTTGAATGTGCCATTGCCAAGTGACATAACCGACTGCCCGGTCAAACTCTTCGCAGACGATGACTTTGTCATATCATAACTATTTCGGTCAGCGCCGCTGCTAAATTGAGCCCGAGCAACGAAACGGACTTACAGAGAAGTACCGCTACAGTCCTGGCATCCATCCCCGGCAACTGCGGTGTAGCCGAGACTCGTCGTGAACGTGAAGTTAAAGTTCTGGACCTGTCCCGAGGACTGAAAACAATCTGTCAGCAACATTTGACAGAGGAACACGATGGTTGCTTACCATGCCCACACCCATCATAGGCCTCCCACCTGGGCTGAGGAGGAGAGGGATGTCGAGCCTCGCAGGCGGAGTGAAGGCCAGTGCGCCGGACGCGCATAGCGAGAGGAGGAGGGATGCCTTCGCGGAGAACATTACGCAAGTCTAGTATTCAAACACACTGGATTCTCAGCCCACATTAGTGTGTGAACGAGGTCGCCACGGTGCCGGATACACGCGGTACTACTCACCACAAACTGGGGCCGCGACCTATCCCTCCGCGAGACCGGACTGCAACGCAGGGAAAAAGCGAAAGACAGGACCTCGGGTAGGAGGTGGTCGGGGAGGAAAAGGAGGAGAGACTCGGGGGTACGGCATGGCCTGTTGGGATATAAGACGCCGTTGGCGGAAGCCAATCAAGCCCACCACGCCCAACAAACGCCCAACGCCCGCTCTTGATCCCGTGGACCCCGGAACCCCGCACTCGATCCCGATCTCCCGCTGATCTTGTCCTCGGTCTTCCCGGCGGTTATCTTCACCTTCTTGTCTCTCCCTGTCTTGTCTTTTGCCTACTTACTAACACTTCAGAAACGTCGGAGGGAATCTCGGACAAGGGCCGAAAGAGCCTGAACAAAATTATGAGCTTGGCCCAATTGTTTAGGGGCAACGGCGCCGGGCACTGCAGCTGTGCTCACACATGGGACCCCGGCGTTTTCGAGTTGATGACTGCCTCCTTCAAGGCGCAGCGCCCTCCGGGTTGTTTCACTTTCGCCACCCGCCACCTGCGTGCAACGTCGTGTCGCGTATAGGCCCAATAGCTATGTGCTATGGGCTGCAACCTTCGACGGACAGAGGGTATCGTAGCACCAGAAGATAAGGAAACTTAGACTTGTAGCACGAACATCGAGAAGGATCGAAAAAGCTCCTAACCGTTGGTGCACCTTTCAATCTTCTGTGGCAGAGCGCCTCGCGCGAAATTGAATACCAGAAGACCGCCAAGGGCTAACAGGCGCGAGCGTCATAACCCTCGGCGCCGGCGCACGTGCATAGCATCCATTGAACCTGCTGCGAGGCGAAAGACGAGGCTTTTCGGCGGCGTGGGTCGTCAGCTCGTGGCGCGAGGCTGAGCAACGCGCACACTCAATGGGACGAATGGGACGACGTTCCTGCCCCTCAGCGCTCAGATTTGAAAACCTATGTCGCGAGCCGCTGCGAATATCATATCGGGTTCGCTGGGGCGCTCACCCCGGTCATCGGCATTTGCTCAATGGGGATGTGACGAATGACGCACTGCGGCTTTTGATGAGCCACCGTCCTAACTCGCCGGGGAAAGTGACGTTATGCGCTTCCGCTGGGCGATCCTTCAGATTGTTGGCTTGTATGGTACGAAGAGCTCGCCGGTAGTCCGTGGAGGTGCGCGGTCGCAAGTGGGCTAGAGCCTAGATATTTGCGGGTGAACGACTCTGTCTGTGGTAGCCGCAGGTGGGTCCATGGAGGTCCATTTCGATCATTTTGAATTTCCGTTTTGAGAAGGATTTGTGGCGGAATAAAACTGCTGCCGGTTGCCAATAGAAGCAGGCCTGTTCCTACTCGTTGATATTTCAGTAACATAGACATTGCGTTCCAGGTTTCCGCTGTAGAGTGCCTAAGTTCTGCAACTAATGCATAGTAAGGCAAGTACGGTGTGAGGCGTCGCAGTGAGGAATGGTTTCCGACGTTGGGCGCCTATGTATGACGATGTCAGCAGCACACGGGATACGCTGATCGGCATCTACCACAGGACAAGCACTCCAGAATTACGCCGTCATTGTGCGTACTTCCGACCGGCGGGCGCGGCATCCATTTCTTCTATGCCGACACGCGGGAGTGCGTTGTGAGTGGTCGCCGACTGGCCGTCCGAGTGCGTCCTGAGAACACAGCATGGTCTAGACTTTGGTGGTCGGGCACTATGCGATAGGATCCTACGTTTATCCAGTAGATAGTAAGTTCAAGTGATTACGTACCACTGCAAGCCTGACTAGCTACGTTCAATTGGAGGCGTTTAGTGCGGCTGGTACGCCGGTGCCATCGAACGCAAACTCAAAACCAGTGGGGCGCAGGCCGAGCTAACCACTCATTCGAGGAGTTGGTGGCTTCGACAACAGCCTTTTAGGGGCACGCAGCTATGCCAGGTAGCGGTCATCTGAGTCACACGGCCACATTGGCGTCTGATGCTGGCCCCTCCCGGCCTTGATCCTGGTACGTTATCAAGAACGCTATCAGCGTCTAGTGGTAGTAAGTCTGCGTGTAAGCAATACTAATGGCAAACGCGTACCACTGCACAATCCTGTCAAGACGATAGTACTTCGTCTTCTCTCCCTTGCCTGTGTTGAGTGCTTGCATTGGTTCGTCAGGCGACCGAAGGGTCGTGGTTGCGGGAAGCTCCTTGCAGTACTACGGGGCCCGAACGATAGAAGGCCACCGCAACCAAAGTTTGTTCTCAGCGTTCCAGACGACGCGGAAGCCCGCAGCCTTGAACCGTGACCTGCGGCTCCGGCCGCCCCATACGATCCCAATATACTTCGAACATGAAACCTAAAGTCCACACGCACGCGCACATGCTACCAAGAAGCCTAACTCATAGCCATTCACTGGTAGGGTTGTGTGCCTGTGATTTTGCGGAGTTTGCGCAGGGGTCGACGGGGAACGTGATACGTGCCCTCGAACTTGAATGCAACTATGGACGCTTCTCAGCCTGCCGGCGCCCTTGAAGCCCCACGACGAAGGCTTTGCGACAGTTGTGCCTGGCATTCTGCCGCCGGCCCGCCGCCGAGGGTCGTGTTGGGTCGTCGCCGGGATGCCGGGTAGATATCGGTGGACGCTTGGTGCCGGCGGTGGGGTGTTCAACCTCGGTACGGCGATCTATGTCCATTAGGGCGCAGGCGGTGATAT